CAGGACACATAAGCTCTGTATAAGTATCTTTTAAAAATATGATATTTAGATAATTTGTTTTAAAAATTTTCATAGCCTGGAAAATTTATATTTTATTAAAATATAGTCTACAGAAATTGTTTCTGGAGGTAAATGCAATTAATCATTTTTAATCACTCTTCAGAGAACTGAGATGAGGGCAGAAGGAAAAGAAACGATTACTTAATCTGTGATATATATATAGTTAAACTTAACAATGATGCAGTCGTTATATCTAGTCTAACACTATGTCTGTATTCATTTGGTCAACATATGAATCAAGCTTTTAATTTTGAAAGAAAAGACAAAATAATGATAATTAAAACAGAAATGATACAGAATTTCACTAAAGAAATTAACAAGTATGCTACAGTAATTAGTGTAATGCATAGTGTTGGATTCAGATTATTTGTTTAGATTGCTAAATCTGTGTATGCAAAATTGTAAAAATAAGAAGAAAAAAATTGAGCCTTCACAGCTCCTTTACCTGTCGATTTACATAGAAATCGACAATACAACTATTCAAGACAACTTGCATACATACAACTATAACTCTTTCTCTCTCCCTCAATCTCCTGTCCTTCTCTTCTCAGTATTCCTTTCTCTTGAATAGATTCATTCCCTTTCCCACGTATCTATTTCGTCTTTCAGATTTTATTTACTCTTTCAGGATCTTACACTAGTGAGACAATGACACAGTGTTTGCATATGACTTGTTCCACTTAAAAGTATGAGATCAAGTTGCATCCATTTATTGATGAAAGTTCAAATTTTTCTTTTCTATAAGAGAGCAATACACCATAATGTAAAACTACCACATCTTCTTAATCCATTCCTCAGTTGATAGGCACATGCATTCGTTCCATTATTTATTAATTTTTACTCATTATTAATGTTATTGAAAATCAATAATAATTATAGGCAAATTAAAAATTGTACACAAATATTGAAATGTGACAGATACAATGTAAACAGTTTAGAAAAGTATTTCTGAAATGAATACAAGAGATTAATAACACATTGCAAACAAAAATATTTAGAAGCTTAAATGAATATAACAATAAAAATAATCTAAAATTAACATGAAGAAGAGTTTACAAATCAGTCATATGATATTTCACTCTGTGAAAATCAAGAAACTTATATTCAAGTAATTAGAATTCTCAAACTAGGAGGAGGTATGCAATAAATATTTAAAGATATAAAATGTATGGATATAGTTACAATTATAGCACCACATTTGCAGGAAAACTGAACCTTTTGTACAAGAAATATGAATTAAATTATACCAAGATACAGAAAAATGAAATTGTACAAAACTAATTGTAAAGAAAAAATCACTAAATCATATATATAGAAAAACATTAGCTATGGAAAAACAAAATTATAGCATCTTATTCCACATTAGAAAAAAAAAAGCAAGTGGGTAAAAAACTAGACTTATTTATTCAAAGGACTAAAAATAAAGCATCTGTACTTATAGAATTTTATACTTAGCAAATATATCTTTGAAAACTAAAAGCAAAATATTTTCCAGTTATACAAATTCAAAATATTCTAATACTTACAGAAATAGCATATAGAAAATAGCAAAGACATCAATCCAGAAGGCAAGAAAAGTTACTGTATGATCCCGGAAAAAGAATAAAGAGCTCTCAAAATGATAGTTATGCAGGACTATATAAAATATAATTATAGGCCACACTCTTGGGACCGCCTAGATCCTCCCAACAACAGGCTCTGCCAGTGTGTGGGAGAACTTCTGCACTGTCCTGCACCTGCTGGACAAAGCACAAATTACCAAAACTGAATCAAGATATAGCAACTCTCAATAACCCAATGACAGCCAAAGAAATATGAAATCTAATTTAAAAAACAAAACTACTGACAAAGAAAAGTCCAGGTCCTGATGGATTCAAAGATGAAGTCTGCAAGAAATTTATGGATAATATAATCCCTATACTCCTCAAAATGTTTAATGAAATTGAAAAGGAAGCAATGCTCACAAAATCATTCCTGGAGAAAAGTATTGTGCTTATACCAAAACCAGGAAAGACGCAATTAAAAAAGAGAACTACAGGCCAATTTCCCTCAACAAAACAGATGCAAAAAGCCTCAATACAATCCCAATAAATAAAATACAGCAAATCATCAAGAAGATTATACATTATGACATGGTAGGATTCGTACCAGGGATGCAAGGATGGTTCAATATACACAAATCTAAAAATGTAATACAATATATCAATACAGCCAAATCTAGAAACCACATGATGATGTCAATTGATGCAAAGAAGGCTTTCTACGAAGTCCAACACTCATTCATGTTCAAAGTCCTACAGAAAATTGGAATAGATGGCCTCCATTTCAACCTGAAA